ATGACACTAACTGGGAACTATTTACTGAGCGCACACTAGACGATACTATCACCAGTATAACTCATTGTCCTAAATTCTACCTTGACATATATTGCCCTAAACAGTTACTTTTCAAAAGTCTTGACCATTTCTCTTCTCATCTCAAAAGGCTACTCACAGGAAAAGAGCGGCTGTACAAATCTAAAGATAAATTTGTTTTAAAAAGGGTTAATGTCTTGATCAAATCTGAACACTCTTTATAACCATGTCAAGTAAAGGTCCTGTAAACATGTAGAAACTTTTCATTAAAATTACTGGTATTGGTAGCAAAGTATTAATGTCCCCCATGTTGATGTAAAAACTCTCAACAAATCTTTCATACGCTCTTCTAAGGATGATTTCTTTCTTAATGCAACAAATCATAAGGATAGTGACTTTCATGGTTTTAACATTGTTGGTATTCTGAAATGTCTGTAAAACCTTGGTCCTGATGATGTACCTCCCGTTGACCTCAGAAGATTTGCTGATATTTTGTTATCCTCGTACAAAAATTTTCAATGTTTCCGTTTCCAGTAATGTTGTACCTGCAGCATGAAAAGACATTAAAATTACCGCTGAACACAAATCATGTTATGCTATCAACGTTAAATTCAGCGTATTGCAATTACCTCTTTTTTGAAATTAATGGAAAAGTAACGGTTGCACAACCTTGAACCCTCTTTAAAAAGTTTTAAAGACCTCAAACACTTTGCTGATAAACAGGACAGGAGTACTTTAATTGCTGTTGCTGTCTTATATCATAATGTTGTTTCCTCCTTAGAAAAAGAGACCAAATGTGTCCATTGTATCTTCCTTGACTACACATCTGCTTTTGACTCTGTACCCAGATACCTTCTGTTAAATAAGCTTTCCCTGACACAAACCTAGTTCTGGGTTGTTAACTGAGTGCATTCTTATTTCAAACAGAATGCAAAAAACTGTATATAAAAACAAATCTTCCTCTGCCTTGCTTACTGAAGCTGGAGTCCCTCAGAATGCTCTTCTCTCTCTCCTTTTATTTCTTCCTTACATGAATTACCTCTTTTGAGTGAAATCAACTTTGTCAAATACGCTGGTGATCTGACTGTCTCTTTGCGAATTACGTCCTGATCTGACTGTTTCAAACTTAATAACTTTTTTTGATCATCAGCCAGTGGTTTAATCTAATTGGTCTTACCTTAAATGTAAGACAATCAACATTACCTTCAGGCATAAACGTGATCTACAAGAACGGGTTCGTTCACATGATGCTTTTAGCAAACAGGGCACTGAAACAGAGACTAAGTCCAGCATAAAATACCTTGGAATAGTCCTATCCTCTGACCTTAATTGATCATCCTGTAGCTTGTCGATTTCTAAGAAAATGTTCCGTCTGACCTACTGCATCAAGAAGTTAAAAGTATCTAAAATCACTCAGCCTCTACTTTTATAGTATCTTACATATTGTCCTTTACTGCTTCACCTTAGTCTTTCCTGGGCTACTGAAAAAAAGACTATGCCATTTTTAGAAGGGTATTAAACGTTGTCAGTATGGCAAGTGATGTGCAACTTAGTCAGCTTGTTAGCACACTAGTCAATAGACATCTCAACTAATGTGAGAAATGGTCCAAATCCATATTGTTTGACCGTAACAGCCGCTCTTTTTTCAGCTCGCTTTGTATCATTGAAGAGGAATAGAAATCATTATAAAAGATTATACACTGGTACAACTAAGTATAAAATCTCAACGAAAACATGTTTGGCCTCCGTCCAACGTGATAGAGATAATGTCGAGCAAAATAATTGGCTCTTATATCCTCTCCTATTTGTAACTCATGGTGACACTATTTCAAGTAACCTATCATTTTAGATATTAACACTATTATCATTATTTTACACTTTTTGTACATTTTTGATTTTATTGTTACTGCTGATACCAAAACAGCTGTTATTATCAATCTTGTATTATTATTTTCCTATCTTTGTTCGCTGTTGTCGATGCAATATTGTACCAAATGGTGGAAATCCCATACTGTATCACAACTACTGTTTTGGAATAAAGCAAATTTCTATTACTATCACTGTTAATAATTGAATAACGGCACTTAGGGTTTGCATATATATATGCCAGCGACACAACATGCGTCCGAATCCCGAGATGCCTGTTATCCGATCAGTGGTGAGATGTGGACATTGGAAGCTGCGATAGGATTTCATCATCGTGGTTTTAAGAGACTTGGAACAGTATTCCAATGACTTCTGGTGCTAGAGGTAGTCACAGTGTTTAAGGAACTTGAAGAACCTCCTTGTAGTATAGTATAAACTGTGGTGAGAATGAAAGAAGATGGTAGGTGATAGCTAAGGGAATTTTCCGCACTACTAAATGTGAGCGGATAATTCCTGCTTCCCGTTTTCCCACACCGTGAAAGTTGATGCCCTGGAGTACTTTGAAGAGAAAAGCGATTGGTGTAACGTGGCCATAAGGTCCGGTGGATAATTACTTGAAGTCAGTCACATACAGTCTACTTGTACAGAAAATCCTCCAGTTGGCTACGGACCTCCATAAAGCAAGACCCAATATTAGAATTTTGAAACTATTTATTTTTATTATTTTTGATTACAGCTTGATTCCACACCGTATTTTTGGTACAAGTATGGAATTTTCAGCATGTGATATTGGTAGCCCAAATTTTGCAGGCCGACCATAGATATCAGGTGTGCGTCGACAGGGGATCGAACCCCAGGCCATGTGCATGGCTGGCGACAGTTCTAACCACTGTGCCGTCGACGCACAACTAACTTCTTCCGACACTCCTTCATAAAGCGGAAAGGCAACATATCTTGTCTTCCAGGAAAAATACCTTACGGCTGTTAAGCATCTATACACCGGCCGTACAGCTTCGCTCTCTAATCCACAACACAGGATGAACAACCTGCCCTATGATGTTAGATGCTTTTAGTTTGATCATCTTCCAACCAACTTTAATAAAATAGTAAGACGCGTTGGAGTATTTTTCACAACGAACGTACCCCTTTAAAAACATTGATTTTAGTTCCTAGTCCATCCCTAAATGAATCTATTCTGAATAGTTAAGGTTGGTATCGATAAATTTGATTGCTTTGAAGTCATGAGTAGGGTCCATATATATACAGAATTGAAAGTACAGAGAAATAGCTGAATCTCAACTGCTTTCTATTGGTAATTTATGTTGTTCGGGGCACATGTATACGCTAAAAATGGATATCTGTCGTGACAACGATACCTAAAAAAACAAGAAAACCTGTTTCAATAATTTTATGTTAGCGGTGGTATAGTGCGGTAGAAGTTTTATTCTCATCTACAAAATTGAATCTAGTGAACATGCTAGGTATGTGGATTTTATTTTGCCAAAATGTACTCGAGATATTGATTTTGGTGAAACAGTTAGGCTTTTTTTTTTGAATATTTCGACGCAAAGAATTTTTTTTTCAAAATCCATCATAAAATGCCTTAATTTGTCGAATGAACACTGTGATCGTTATCTTACTTTCGCTACTATAGCGAAACATGGAGGTAAAAATTAACAGTTTGGTTTAAATTTCTAGTTTTCACTGATGGTTTACACTTTCTTTCGCTGACTCCGACATCAGAACATATTGAGTAAAGTCCTACAATCACTCTGTAAGAGGTGACAGCTGAGTGTCAAAGCATTATATAAAGGTCCTGTATTCAATCAGATCTAGTCATAATTCTTCAAAATCTTTAATTCTTATGACAGACATGCAGACCCATTAGAAGGCGTACTTTAGACACCACTGTTGTCTTAATATTGTCTTCACTTTAGAGGCTACAATTATGTCCTATGTGCCTTCCTTGATTATACATCTGCTGTTGACTCTGTATATAGGCCTCTTTTGTCAAACAGGCTTTCTGCTACACAACCAGGGTGTTTTTAATACTTGAGAGCTTATTAACTTGAAGACTTGATTATAGGCAGTGATTCCACAATACTTAGTTCAGTCCCGCTTACCGAAGTTATGACATATGGGCAGCATTATCCGCTCATACTTTGCGTAGTCGTGAGGTGACATTCCATTTTTTTCAGCACTCACTAAGCATGTGCTACTTGTCGGGAATACCATCGAAAAATTCACTAGAGGCTTCTATTTACGAAAAATAGAGGAGTGTCTAACACAAACTCGAAAAGTGCTTTTTGAAACTAAACAGCACAACTCGCTTTTATCATTTACGGTAGAACACTGACTTTCCCAACAGGTTATTCACACTGTAGCTGTTCTCACCAGAACTAAGAACTTGGTGACTTATATCATTTAGCGACACAGTGGATTTACTGAGTTTGATGATCACTTCGCCCATGTTAATACACCAAGGTCAACACACTCAGGGTTGGGTATCCTTCTAGCAACCGATTCACGTGCAAACTGCGATCTCTAAATACCTGATGACAATACAGTAACTCGCGTAATGATACATACAAAAGCCCTCTCGATGCTCGAAGATACATCAGCACACGGATCTCATGATAAAGCACTACTGAGTCATATTTGTAGTAAAGCTAATGATATATTGATGACCAGGCATGGGGGAAAGAAAAGGGTCCAAACTCACAATCCAGGATTTCTATAAGAAAACGATACGGAAATTTTTTTAAGTAAATCATTGTAATGCTCCCACTTCATACAGCTTCAATATAGCAAAGCAGTGAAGTTTGGAAATTGTTCTAGAAAATCATTTTTGTTCGGTACTAAATGACAAATTAAGAAGTCTGGCTATGTTAGCAGTGTTCTGTGCCTGTCTTATGGTTGGTCGATCAATCATGCGGCCACGGAAACTGAAAGCTCCTGCGTTTGAAGGGTCCCCATACACCTGTTTAGATGCTTCCGTAATCAGATCAATGGACCATTCCATTTGTGATTGAGAAGGTGAGAAGCTTTGATTGACACATAAGAGTTGTGAAGGATGGATTACTTGTTTGCCGTGGAATCCTAAACGAGCGCCTTGTTCACAATTGGCCTTCAATTTATTAAGATCTAAATCAGTCTACTGAGGAAATTATACAATTTACCTTTAAAATCTATGTTTACCATATCAATAGCAGCGAGGTTATGTGCTCTAGCAACAACTGGAATGTATTGTCTAGGATAAGATAGTTCTGTGTTATCATCACTTCTGTCGACACCTAGAATATGTAATAAAAGGTGATGTAGCAATTAATTTAGGCAGACAAACCACTAGTCAGAATGAAAAATGAATATGAAGAACAGTTTATGAAGCTTGGTGAGTACTAAAATATCACTATATGTATAGATCCAATAGAAAGATTGCAAAATATTTCTCAAATTACTCAGCGTCAATGGACATAAAAACAACAGTAATTACTGTATGTTATGCAATTGATAGTGTTCTCTGAGCTCCTTGGTTTAATTGCGGAGCTTTCATCGTCTTTCTGGACGACATCTTCAGCGCAGTATTTAGGATGAACCAAGGAGCTCAGAGAACACTATCAATTGCAAATCATCCACCTGAGTTACAAATCTTTTCTATTACTGTATGTTAGTTGGATGTGTACGAGCCACGTTATTTAAACCACGTTTGCTGAAACTTCCTTTCAGTTCATAACATTAAGTCTTTCTGCGAGCCTTGCTTAGCAAAAATACTTTTATATTCATAAGCCATAACCACCATATGTATAAACCGACTTAGGACTGAATTTCGAAAAAAACTATTCGTTCTTCATTACATCTGCATTCAGTGCCAGTTGAGTTGAATAAGAAAAAGTGAACGAAGGCAGTCAGAGTTGGGTAGGTTACTGTCTATGCCTTCATGAATGAAATTAGCTTCAAAACTAACGTAAGAACGTTGATGTACCATTTATTCCCATGACAGTATACTAAAGCATTTACCACTTGGGATTCATTTGGTTTTGGCTTTTTACGTGAGGAATTAGTTTAAAGGATCCAGTGATATACAGTAGGTCAGTTATTGGTGATCGACTTGTGTGTTAGCTAATTGTGTGGAATATCTACTCAGCAGCTAACGTTCCTCCTCTTCTTGTCTATGCTTTTAAATAAAACAAATTGTCCATGAAAACCAAAATAGAGTTGTAAATCTTACCATCATTACCAGGACATATTCACCATATTTTGAAAACTATAATATATAAATCAGAGGAGGTAAACAGCTTTGTATTCATCTCATTTATTGTGTTAAATAAAAGTATGGTTCTTTTGTCCTGAAGAAGTTACAAATTATCATGTACACTTGTAAGCGAGGAAGAAAGAACAATGTAATGGAGTATCAGTAGAAAATTACTACGAAAGCTTACTTATTCGACTTCGGCTGCATTCAAAAAACAATTATTGAAATAAAAAGCTTGAAATATTATAGTGCTCTAGGTTTAGTGCTGCAATTCGTCAAGAGAATTTATATTATCTGGGATTTTGACTTTGCCGATTTAAGAAAGATATGCTGGCACAAACCAATATGTTAAGAAAAAAGATACACAACCAAGAGGGCAACTAATCACCCTATGTGCATTGTGTGTCGATGGAAGCCTGTGGTATTCGGGTACTTCTTGACTGACTACTTATACATACCTTGTGCAAATTTAATTACAAAAAAGTTGTAATGATTCGAAAATATGTTCCCCCAAGTGTATTGTGTAGAAACGTATCAGAGATTTTAGACAGTACCCGAAATGTTAGCAGAACGTGTACGTTCTGAAGCATACTTGTATTTTTTTTTATTACAGCTTGATTCCACACCGTATTTTTTTTTTGGTACAAGTATGGAATTTTCAGCATGGATATCGGCAGCCCAAAATTTGCAGGCTGACCATTGATATCAATGCATATAAACCTATACATTAGAAAAACTCAGTAATATGTCAGAAACATTTAGGCTTCGTTGAAAAGCATATTTCTAATTAGGAAAAGGTAATTAATATAAATAAAGACGTAAAATCCAGTAATTTACCTAGACTGACACAATAATCATCTGAGCCGAAAACAATACATTTAAGAGGATGTTTAAATGCCTTGGCCTGTTCACAGATCTCTGGTAAGTTCAGTACAGCTTTGCACGATTCAATCAACGCAATTAGACCAATAGATGGATAAAACGACAATGTACTTTTACGAAGTACTTCATTTATCGAGTGGTTCAACTATTAATCATAAAAAGAAATACAGAAATACATTATGCCAATCGTGTTGTTTCAAGTAAATTAGCTGCCGAATTTGAATGATAGGATAAGAAACACACTTCAGCTTTATGTAAGTCTACATTTGAGCGCCTGTGACACAGCAGTTAGGACGCCTGCCAACCATGCACATGGTCCGAGGTTCGGCCGACGCACATCTGATATCAATGGTACGCTTACTAAATTCAGGTTATCAATATCACGTACTGAAAATTACATAATGCTACCACAATACTGTGTCGAATCAAGCTACAATAAAAGACTTATATACATATATATATATATATATATATATATATATATATATGTCGATATTCATCTTACACACTGATGTATAGAATATCCTGTTATATTGAATGAACGACTAATATAAAAACGAAAAATAAATAACGATTCCAAAATTATTTTCGCAGTTACATGTATCACATATATTTTTGTCCACAAAGCAGCCTGCCCCATTACTTTGCGCATACCTATTACCAGTATGACTTTCCTCTTCTGAAATTATTTCCAAGACAACTTAAATCAGTCATCGATCCAGATTTACACAATTCATTCTTTTTACAAACATTTATCCAATGAATTATATATTCTGACAATGTATACTAACACCACAATACCTAGTGGCTTTACAGATCCCCCATCTTTAAGAGATACGAAGAATTTCAACCGCATATATAAGAAAATCACGCCAGTTCACTAGCTCACCAGTTTTCCAGCCGGTACCAAACCCGGGAAAAGACGAAGGGTTGGGAGTGCGTCAGAGACCCTACCCAGGAAAATCAATAAAGCAGCAACAGGAACTCCAACTCACAAGAAAAATATTAAAAAATACAAAAAACAAACTTATCCCTCTCTGGAATCCGAGAGGCGAAATGACACAGCGAACTGGTGAAAGCCTTCAGGATTCCAGTCAGCCAGCCAGTCGATGTGCATTCTCTTGATGAAAGCAAAAATAAGAATGGGGACGTGGAATGTATGTACAATCTACGAAGCCAGCTGGGAAGGCTGTCCAGGTAGCCAACGAAATGCGAAGACATGGCCTAGAAGTGCTGAGAATCTGCGAGAGCAGATGGAATGGATGTGGACTACCGAAATTGTCAACTGGTGAGTCAGTAATCTACCCCAATCTGGTCACCCAGAAGAAAACCACGAGCACACTGAGGCACTGAGGGGCTATCATGATATCACCAACAGCAACCAAAGTTCTAATGCAGTGGGAGCCAATCTCCTAAAGGATTGAGGTAGCAAGATTCAACTCAATTGGAAGGAAGATAACAATCATCCAATGCTACGCACACTGCTATGGACAATTCGGAACAAGAGGAAAAGGGGATTTCTATAGAAAACTACAAACAGTAATGGACAACATGCCAAATGGCGACATCGAAATCCTCATGGGCCACATGCATGACAACCAAACTGGAAGCAGACAAAACAGGAAGAGAACTCGTCATGGGTCCACAGGCTGTCCCTCGACAAAATCAATGACAACGGAGAATTCTTCGAAGACTTTTGTGCTTTCAGTGATTTAGTGGGCAGAGGCAGCGTGTACAAGCACAAGGATACACACAAAGGAACATGGATTTCGCCTGACAGACACACCACAAACCAGATAGACTGCACCTCAGTATTGCTCAAGGAAGTGGAGACGCAGCTTGTTAGATACAAAGTCGCGAAGAAGAGCAAATGTGGGCTCAAACCATCATCTAGTCCAGCGAACTGTCAACGTGAAGCTGAAAGCCTTCAGAGACAGGCCACATTTCAAGTCCAACATTCAGAAAGTGAAAGATACAACTACAAAAGAAGATACCTTCACTACAGCTATCGGAGCAAAGTCGGAGACACTACGTGACACTACTACTGAGGAAACCTGTGTGGAAGAACATTGGAACTAACTCTCTGAAGGTGACATTCACCGAAACGTATACAACCGTTCTAGAGAGAAAGGAAACATGAAAACAATGGCTCTCAGCAAATAACTGGGAGCTGATATGGGAGAGGAGGACAGTGAAGGAGAAGATGAGTCAGTGCAAAGATGGACAACAGAAGGAGACACTAAGTCCAGTGTACACCGCATTGAATAAAGGAGTGAAGGATGATAGGAAAGACAAAAGGCAATTCAACGACACACTGGCCGGCAACTGGAGTAGAACAGGCCAGTACAAGTGACCTCAGAACATTATGTCAGATAACCGGGTCTATGTTGGAGAAGAGATCAACCCAGAAAATGAAACCAATAAAAGACGCTCAAGGAAACCAGATTACCAAGGAGGAGAAACAAATAGAACAATGGGCTGATCACTTTAAAGGACTCTTGAAGCGACCATCATCTGAAGCTCGCCCAGAAATACCACCACTGGAAGCACGCACATAACTGCCTTACAGTCAACAGCAATCCTCTAACCAAAGCAGAAATCTTGAATGCGATCAAGCCACTGAAGTCTAGTCGGGAAGGCAGCAAGGTCAGACGGATTTTCCCCTGTCCTTGAGGCACTGAAAACGGACCCGGAGACTGTGGCAAATGTTCTCATGCCATTATTGCAAAAGGCTTTGAAGGAAGGAAAGGTGTCTATCGATTGGAAGTACGGCCAGCTACACCGACACGCTACCACAGAAGAGCCACTTAGGCCTCTGAAAGAAGTGGTGTTGAATTATGTTCTTGTCTACGTGAAGAAAAAAATTGAGTGGCCTCATCGAGGAGAATAAGGCATTCACTGGACATTCACAGACACAAAATTTTATGCCGGATCGTCCGTGGCCCGGATTAACAACGACCGCGCCTCCTGCTGGCGTGTCACAGGGCGAGAGTGATAAATATGCTACTGAGACATACAAAACAATAACTAAAAAACAAAGGCAGGCCGTTTTTTTTTTGCCTCAAGCAGATGTCCCATGGGCTCTGCGGCCACACAACCAACTTCCACGGTGTGGGCAGCCGAGAAGTAACAATCGCCCTCACAATCCGAAACGCACGCGAAACCTCTCTATTACTCACTCATCTTTTTCTTCAGCTTCATCTCTATCATCTTGCCTTCCTTCCACTGATGCAACTCCTCGGCTTGATAGCTCTTTACTTCCTCTCCACTCTGCATCCACTAAAAACGATGGAAGCCAAAAAACCACCACCGATAGTCTCCTGAAGCAACGCCACTTATTTCACAAAGGAGCATTTAATGTTAGGACACTTAGCCAAATAGGACAACAAGCATCACTAGCCAAGACCCTGACATCCCGAGCCATTGTTGTATGCTGTGTTTCAGAGACACGCATACAAGACCCAAGTGTGGTTATTCACCTAACCCCATCTGGCCAACAGGTTGAATCTGCAAAATTCACCTTGAGGATGTCAGGAGATGCCACAGCCAGTTCACGAGGATTAGCTGGTGTAGGAATAGCTTTGAGTACTAGGGCAGAAAAGACACTGCTTGACTGGATCCCGGTAGATAGCCGAATGTGAGCTGTCAGTCTGAACGGGTCAGTTAAAAGGAGAAAGGACTGCACTACTCGCCGATGCCTTTTCGTAATCTCCGCCTACACCCCCACTGACTGCAGTTCAGATGAAACGAAGGATGAGTTCTACCAAAAGCTGTCTAGTTTGGTGCGAAAGGCTAAACGCTCAGACATAGTCGTTCTAGCTGGTGACTTTAACGCTCAAGTAGGGAAATTGTGTCAATCTGAGAAGGATGTCGGTGGCACCTATGGAGTTCCGTGCCAGCGAACCGACAACGGTGACCGTCTCCTACAGTTCTGTTCTGATAATCATTTGTTTCTTGTAAGCACTAACTTCAAACACAAGAAGAGACACTGTTTGACTTGGAGACCCCCTTCATCCAACCAACGCTGGACACAAATAGACCACATAGCAATAAGCTATCGTTGGCGTGGGTCGGTAGGAGATTGTCGCTCCTTCTGGAATACGTGTGTAGATACCGATCACGCACTGGTCCACGCTCGATCAGGAAACTAAATCCGTATTTGAGGAAGAACTAGCTAAACACATATCTGTGTTCGACAGCTGTGCTCACCCTGAAGAAGCTTGGAAAAATATCCAGGCAGCCATAGATACAGCTGTAAAAGCTGTGAATAAGGTAAACCCAAAGGTGAGTAAAAACCACTGGATCTCCACCGCCTCATCCGAACTGATAGATGCTAGAAGACTTATTCCGGCGAGCTCCGAATTCAATGAGGAGCGAAAGCTGCACAAGAGGAAACTTACGAAAAGTCTCCGCAAGGACCGTGAACAGTGGTGGGTGACAAAAGCCAAAGAGATGGAGAAAGCTTCGAGGATAGGCAACACCAGGCAACTCTTTAGACTCATCAGGGAAACGGGTGGGAGAAGACAAATCATTAGTGAGACAATCTCGGAAAAAAATGGCACTATAATTAGCTCCCAGGATAGACGACTGGATCGTTGGAAAGAGCATTATGAGGAGCAGTTTAATTGGCCCACAGCCACGCTCAACCTTCCGAGCATCCAACACCTCCCTGAATGGGATATAGACACAGGTCCTCCGTCCCTAACTGAGGTTACTAAAGCTGTCACCAATCTGAAACTAGGCAAAGCAGCGGGACCTGATGGAATGACTCCAGAGGTATTTAAGTACGGTGGAGACAGCTTACTGTCTGGATTAACTGAGGTACTAGGCAGCGTCTGGGAATCAGAAGAAGTCCCATCGGGTTGGTGTAAGTCACTGATTATCCCCATATACAAGAAGGGAGACAAGTCTTCCTGTGATAATCACAGAGGGATTAGCTTGACTAATATAGTATCTAAAGTCTTAGGCTCAATAATCATGCGTAGACTGAGTGGTGCTCGGGAGGGACAAACACGAGAGAGCCAGGCAGGCTTTAGACCAGGAAGAGGGTGTATTGATCATATCTTCACCCTCCGACAGATTCTAGAACATAGGCATTCCTACCGGCGTCCAACAGTCATTATATTTCTTGACCTAAAGGCAGCA